AGAGCCAACAACTACAATTTCGGCGCATCTGCACGGCGGGAAATGAATAGGAACATTCCCAGGCGTAAGGTGTGGGTAATGAGTCCGAATCGCCCTCGTCACCTCGTCGTACATAACTTGATATCCTGCCGGGTTGAAATGGAGGCCTAAAACACACAGGGAAAAAAAAAAAAAACAAAACAAAACACCCATTAAGTAAGTAAAGGCAGCTTCTCATGGTTGGAGGACCCAAGAACGAAAAATGGTCAGTTATATATACGTGTGTGTATATATAATGCATATACATACCATCCGACAACAAGGCCTGCAACTTCTTATTCGCAGGGGCATCTCTTGATCCCGGGAGCGGCTGGCCTTCCACCCACCCTGCCGCGGTCATGAATGCAGTCCATATGTCGGCGACGGGCACGTTGAGCGCATTGCCCACTTGCCGGCAGGCGTCTGCATACTTTTTTGTCTGGGACGCTTTGCGCATTACTGCTACGGAGGCTGGTTCGGGCGTGCCTGACGGTGTATCCGTACCCATATCTGTATCTGTATCTGTATCTGCAGCGGAAAACTGATACTCATCGACAGGCGGTGGGGTTAGGAGGAGAAGGTTTGTTTCCTTGTGCTCTTTGATAAGCGGGTGTGTGAGGATTTTTCTTAAGTTGGCTTCGTAGGTGGGGAGGGGGACGTGTTGTTCGAATCCAGGAAGGACGGCGTCGTTTGCGCCGAAGAAGACAATCTGCGATTTTTATTTCAAAAATTGCTTCTTGGTTAGTTATTGCTCTTTATTTCCCCCTTGTATCCTCACAAGTGCGCATTTTGTAACGGATTGACTGGTATTTTGGTGTGTGATGAGTTACCATTAGGCGGACTTTCGCCTTTTGCACTGGCGGGAAGAAGCATGGAAAGATGGCGAGAGCCTGTTGCGATGTATAGCCACTGCCATATGATCAACATTGGATGCCATCAAGTAATGTATGTACCATCAGTAATTTTTAGATAGCATTCTTTACCTGAAACCGCGATTGATGATATCGAAACGTCTGATATAATCTATGTGAATATTTAGCTGGCAAGTTCCGAGAAGAGAAAAATAAACAGAAGCAACGGAGCATTCCCACATCTCTCGATCGTTTGGACGAATGAGAGGAGATATCATCAAATCTATACACGCTAATAATGCAAGTACTCAGCGAAAGGGTTAACCCACCACTCTGTAGCGCTGGAGAAAAGGCGAATCCTCTCCCCTGATCGCACGAGCCCTGCGTTATGGAGTCGCCGAAAATAATAAATTGTTCATATTCTACGTAGGGCGGCGAGCTGGAGGCCTCCGGGATGACTGTATGTTTGATTAACATGGCGGGGTTTGGCGGTGATGTTGTCAATGGCAACTTAGAATATTTGAGGGGGAACAATCCATGGATATATTTATTTAAGTTAACTAGTTAAGTGATTGATGCGGGGCTTGAGGTCAGGACGAACTTTAGCGGTTGCTTGCCGCGACCAAATTGCGCCAACTGGCACCACAACGTTTTCATGATCAACATGCTATTACATGATTTGAGTGGAGCGCATCATAGGAACAGGAAATATTCTGCTCTAGTATAACCTAATCGAAACAACAAGCTCTATTATTGCCAAAAGCTAGAAATGTTATGTGGAATGTTCATCGTGCGTGCCATATATTGGGATCCGACTTTGAAGATATCGCTGTCAGGATTTGGAAAGCCCAAGAAATGTTTAAAGTCGTCAATCAAGTCCGACGGATCGT